TATTCAGCTCTCACCATGTTACTGGACGTTTCCCTCATCCTATACGTAAACAACAATTAGCAACATTCTCACATACTACTGTAAGTTGAGTCAATTTAAATTCATTTTACACCTTTGTTGCTACTGTTATCATTGTAATTGCAGCTCCTGATGATGATGGCAAAGTCCATTGAAAGCTAGAGAGAATTAAAAAAAAGTATAAAGAGTCCTCTTTGCTTAAATCTTGTCGAAGTACCCAACAAAAAGCGGAAGCTTTAATTTTTCACCTATATATATATATATATATATATATATATATATATATATATATGGATATTAATGATACGTAAATAAGTTATTACATTTCACATTCATTTTTAATTGGCAGTCATTAAAATTTTATAGAACTTTATTTTACGATATCAAGTAGAAAATACAAATCAGCGCCTAATGTGTGGCAGTGAAAAAATGTTTTGTACGTGATGTGAAATTGATAATTATTCCGTGATGTGGCTTAATTACATACAACGCGGGTGCGGTGCCGATTTCCCGTAATGAGTCTCAATGTTTTTGAAAACGCAAGAAAGAAAACGAGAAAACCGTAATGTATAGTTTTGAACATAACCTCTCTTCAGAAAGGACAACATAAAAACCCGTGTGGCACAGCTAATAGATATATTTCATGGGCAGCATATTCAGTAATGATTTTCTCACATAGCAAATAATACAGTTGGACGTTCACGGCGCTCATAGCGAACAAATGCGGATCTACTATTTGCACACTAGGAACTAAGTGACATATAAATCCGAACACCAAGTTTAAATGGTTTTATTTTAATAAAAGTTGGTGAATGTATTTACCTTACTGTAAATAACAAGTGAAAAAATGTTCAGCCTTATCAGTTGGACATTCCGGTTTTTATACTGCTTTTTTTTAATTCACTAACGCTCTAAAAATGAATATTTCAGCCGCAGTAAAGAATCAACGTTGGCGGATTTTGGTTCTTGACATCCTTTACGATCGGTTACGATGCCTAGAGTACGGAGACCTGTACGATTTCGTCAACTTAGTGAGTTTGATAGGGGCCGTGTAGTGGGACTTCGGGAAGCTGGACTTTCTTTTCGGGCAATTGCAGTTAGACTGCAAAGAAGTGTAGACACTGTGGCTAGGTGTTGTCAGGCATGGCTTCGAGAAGGCCATACGCAAAGAGCAAGGGGCACTGGACGCCGCCGTAGAACAACAGACCGTGAAGATCGCCGCCTAAGATTATTAGCCTTAAGGGACCGTTTCTCCACTACCAGGTCCATTGCAAATGAATGGTTTGCAGAACACGGAAGACCTATTGGCATGCGAAGTGTTTACCGACGAATGAGAAGTTTTGGCTTGTTTTCATACCGGCCACACTGGGTCCTCCCTTTAACTCGAGAACACCGACGTAATCGCCTTGAGTGGTGCAGACGACGGTTACTCTGAGATCATGAATGGAACAGTGTTGTCTTTAGTGACAAGTCTCGGTTTTGTTTAGGTATGCCCGATGGTCGTGCCAGGGTTAGAAGGCGACGTGGTGAAAGGAGGAATCCACAGTTTTTTGTTGAAAGACATGTTCATCACACTGTTGGAGTTATGGTTTGGGGTGCTATAGCGTATGGTTCCAGGTCACCTTTAATCTTCATCAGAGGCAACATGAACGCGCAGCGTTATATCCACGAAGTTCTAGAACCCCATCTTTTACCCTATCTTGACACCCTGGTAGATCTAACTTTCCAACAAGATAATGCCCGACCACATGTTGCAAGAGTAACAATAGACTTCTTTCAACATAATGATGTCACATTGTTACCATGGCCACCACGATCTCCCGACTTATCCCCAATTGAGCACGTGTGGGATATGATGGGTAGGAGATTGCTCAATTTGCAACGTCCTCCTCAGACTCTAGAAGCACTTCGAGAGGAGTTGGTGGTTGCCTGGAATGAGATACCACAGGACGACATTGACCACCTGATCAGAAGCATGCCTAGGCGCGTTGGAGAATGCGTAGCACATCAGGGTGCATCCACACATTATTAAAGGTCAAAGGGCTTTAAAGCAGTGCAATCATTTTGAAATTTTTATCATTTACTTATTATGCTTCATTAAGTACTTATACAAAATTTTATTGAAATAAAACCATTTAAACTGGGTGTTCGGATTTATATGTCACTTAGTATATCTAGAGAGCAAGTCGACACTTTGTCGGTTTTTTAACGTTTTTTACGTAATAGCCCTGCCGACCATTTGTAGAAAATTTTTTGTTGGGAACAAGGATCGGGGTAGGAGGCTGTAGGGGGTGGAGGAGGATAAAACTTAATTTTAGTTAGTTTGCTTATATCCTTCGAACCTCGTAATTCTACGCACCTATTAGACATATTTTACACTTCATACAATTTCCTGTACATTTGCTCTTAAAACTTGATAGTATGATAGAGATATATTTTCAACATACGTCGCACTGGATATACCTATGTCGCAGTCTGACCGATGAGTGGCTGTCTACTATTCGTCATTTGTTTATCTGACCAGTCCGTAGTCCTTTCTCTCCTTCAAAAATTTCTAGATTACACTTGTCCCGTGTCAGCGTCAGCGCTCCCCTGTTGTGAAGATATGTTTTCTTTTCAAATTGTAGGAAATTTCAGGCTGATACAACACGATATAACTCAAAAGCAAGCACAATTTGATGCAAATAGATGTTTGTGACATAACCTCAAAATAGAGCGCTGACACGGAGAAGTAGAAAACTATGACAATCAAGGGGGCCATAAAGGCGCCCTACAATTGTAGGGACGACTGACGATACGGGGCTTAGTCACTGTCTAATGTATGTTAGTTGAATCTGTCAGTCCTGATTGTCAAGAAACCAGACAACGTCAAGGTGAAAGATGAAAAGAAAAAAAAGAAGAAGAGCAAATAAAATCAGAAGTGTACCTTAAGAGTAAACACCTAGGCTTTTTGACCTGGTACACGGATTAGTATTGAGGTGGAGCGGCTGCCATGCAAGTGGTAAGGTTGGTCATAGCAGCATGCCAAGTGGTTGGTACTATGGGCAGGGCGGGAAGTTTATAGATCGCAACGTTGTCAGATAGGTGCTGTCTACAGATTAGTTGTATGGACCTGCTTGACTGATTTGACCCAGCTAACTTTTGTGCAGAACACAAACGTTTATGAACTGATTTTCAAATACTTGGATCTGCAAGATTGTTATCAGAATGTACACGCTATTCAGATTTGAAAAAAATAATTAGATTCACTAGGCTAATTTCGTCGCTAAACAAATTTTAAGATTTTGGATGCCTTCACAGTGACAAGAACACTGTTGGCTAACGTATGAATCGGAAAGTACCACGAACATTTTTGATTAAGTTTAGGCTGTGACTAATGTTACGGCGAGAACGAAAAAACTTTAAATTTCGCTGATTTTCATTTGAAGCATTAATGCCAATTACGGTGACCAGTATAATAATAATAATATAATATATTATTTATTGCCCAACAGATACATTCATTTAAATGACAATGCAATTGAGTACAATTTGACTTTATAGTATTTTTAACTACAATCATACCTCGCCCAGTTTCTGAAAGAAAAATTAATAGCTACACCTACTCACATGTCTTAAATGTTATAAATTGAATAATAGTAGTCGCTGAATACAGCTAATATCTCTTTGACTTTATTATGATGAATGTCACAATTATCCGCTATGGTGTTAAAGCTGGAGCACATAAAGTACGCGGGTGACTTAATCATAACATTAGAATTTGGTGTGTTTAAGTAAAAAGCGAGAAATCTTCGGGAAATGCGGGATGGTACATGAAAATCAATTTTAGCTAATAAAGCTGAAGAATCAACATCACTGTGTACGAGTTTGTAAAGGAATTTTAAACTATTACAAACTCTTCTCAGCTCAAAAGGATGCATTTCAAATCTGAGCAACATCGCTGATTGGGGAGTCCCACGACTGGGATAAACACCATCTAGTTTGAAAGTCAAGTATTTAAGAAATCTCCTCTGTACACTTTCAATTTCATTAGTATAGACTTGGGGATGCCATACACTAGATGCATATTCCAGCTTAGAACGCACCAAGGTCCAGTATAAAGCCTTCAGTGCCGTTTCACTACCAAACGATTTACAGTTTCTTATCAAAAAAACCGAGAGTTTTTATAGCGGGTGATACTATTGTACTAATATGACCTGTAAATTTTAATTTAACATCAAACAACACACCTAGATCTCTTACGTCTGAACAGCGCATCAAACTGACACCTTCCAGAGTGTAATCAAAAACTATTGGCTTCGTCTTCCTGGTAAAAGAACAGGTTTTGTATTTGCTAACATTTAAAAATAATTTATTAGTTGAACACCATTCAAATATATGATTCAGGTCAGCTTGCAAGATTAGACATTAGGTTTTTCTTCCTAGACTGTCTGTCGTTTATTTCTTGAATTATATCTTCATAGTCGACAGGCGGTGATATCTGGGCTGTGTCAGTGCGTGTAGACTTGAGAGCGTTTATTTCCTCTTGTAAAGAAATGACCGATGCTCGAAGGTCAGATACTTTTGGGATAACTCAACGCAGCTGTAAAAATAGTGCTTCTTGCACACAGAACAGCTCACAAACTTGTTATCATCTCCAAGTTTTTTGCAGCAAGTACAACTCATTTGCGTAGTTTGAGGCATTATATGATTTGATTTGACTACCAAGAGAGTGCAGAACTCTAGGTAAATACGGCAACGCCGGTAAAAACGGAACAAGCCAATCGGCTTTGTCAGGCTGCAATACATGGTACATAGTTTTGAAAAATGACATATGGTATGTTGACTCTATAATTTAAATGATTGTATCATGGTTTAAAAAAATTGTATGGATACGAATTGAAACTGAAACACTCCCAAATGAAAGCTGCTCTTAGAATTTAAAATCCATCAGGCTTGGTTAAAGTTAAGATATAGCTCACTAACGTTTCATTTCTTTTCAGGATTATGTCTCACTACTGACATAGATTATCTTCTGGATCATATGAATAATGCCAGATTCATCAGAGAGCTGGATTTCGCAAAAATGGATTTTAACTTCAGAACTGGATTGTACCATCTGGTAAAAAGCCGCGGGGGACAGTTGTTTCTAGGCGGGACCACAATACGATATAGAAGATTTATTAAATTGTTTAGCCGTTACTATATAACCACAAGGGTAAGTATTATTGATTTAACACCTCATATTTCCTTCGCATAGCTTGTATGTAGAATGTGCGTATATCCAAGTCACGGTATGGGCTATAGTCAAATACCAGAATTAATGACAGTAGCAGAAGTCATCGTGCGCCACTGCTTGGTATACTACTATAGTTACAATTCTAATCAATCGATAAGTGTGCACGCATGAACATATTTCTCTGTACAAGTAGTCTTGCTTTCGGAAGATTGGATATTACACAGTAATAGCCATTTTCCCCTATCATGATGCCTCGCTTTCAAATGATGAGTTGATCTTTAGCTGACATTGTTTTTAATGTTGCTTCTGGCAGTGCCAAAAGCCAACATAATTCGAAATAAAGACAGGGCGATCTGGTCATCTAGTGGCAGTCTTCCTGTCTGAGAGCAGATCATATGTTCACAATATTTTTAAAGACACCTTTTCGGAAAAAGACAGTGTTAAATTGCAATTTATGTACTAGTCTCTTTCCTGTAAGCTGGTAGGATGCAATGTTCGGGTGCAGTGAATCTCTAGCACTGTTTTTGTTGCCATTTTTCAAGCGGCAATGATACAAAGTAGGAGAAGACAAGTCAGCGTTGTAAACAAGCGTCTATTAACCTAAACTTTTTGATCACGATAAGTTTATATACCTACTTATACAGGGTGGCGCATCGAAAACGAAACAGACGCATTTACTGGCTGCTATTTTTTTTTTTTTTGAAAAACGCTCAGACCCATCGATTATTGTTTTCGAGGGGGACACAGGTTTGGAAAAAAATCACGTTAACACGTGCAGCCCCCCGGACGGGGGTGACACCAACCCTAAAATCTTAAATGGAAAGGGGGGTCGAGTGATACCTTATTTTAAAGGTCTTTCAATTCCATTTATAATGATGTAAAATACATGAGCTTCAGTTTAGTAGTTTTGAAGATTTATTGATTTAAAGCTTAAAGTAGACTTTAATAGCTGCATCGGATTAGTTTATGCTACCTTCAGAAGAAATTTACTTAATAAGTAAATGCTTTTCTACACTACGCCCATGGTTTGTTTATCATTTTGTTGTTGAAAATAGCGATTGGAGCGTTTATTGCGACAAAAAAGTTGTTTTTTGAAGAAAGATAAGGAAATATCTCGTACTTATTTTAAATAAGAATTTAGTACATAGTTTGCGATTGATTTGACCAGACTTTGTTGCTAAAATAACTTGCAACGCTTTATTACATAAATTAACCATCGTATATTCCATAGCAGAAAGAGTTGAAATTATCGAAATATTTTTCGGTAATAAATCAGTACGCTAATAGAACAGCAGAAATATTTAATGAGCGACATGAGAACAGTAACGTGCATCGAAAATATGTTCTAGAACTTGTAGCTAAATTTCGGGAAACTGGGTCAGTCGCCAGTAAAAAACGCAACATTGAAAATCCCATCAGGAACGAAGCAATAGAAGTGGGGGTTTTAGGGCAAGTTTATGTAGATCCTACGTTAAGTACCCGCAAATTGGAGACTGTGTGTGGTGTTAGTCGCCGTACTGCCCAACGGATTCTAAAGGCCCATAGTTTTCATCCGTATAAAATTCATCTGGTACAAGAACTTAATGAAGACGATTTTGATCGGCGATTACAATTTTGTGAAGATATGAGTGAACGAATTATAAACGATGAACATTTTCAATTCAACACTTGCTTTTCTGACGAATGTTCCTTTTTCTTAAACGGCGTTGTAAATCGTCATAACTGCTGATGTTGGTCCGATTCTAATCCAAGAGGTTCATACACAGGAGCTACAAAAATTAAATGTTTGGGCTGGAATTTTTGGCGATCATTTAGTTGGTCCTTTTTTCTTACCTGGAAATTTGGCCGATGAAATGTATTTGGAATTACTGAAAGACGCCATAGATCCTGCATTAACAGCCATAATTGAAAATCAGAATGATCGGCGGTGCATTGCGAGTAGGTTGATGTTCCAACAGGATGGAGCCCCGAGCATTACATGTTCGACAATATTTAGATCAGACGTTTCCAGATCGATGGATTGGTAGAAGAGGTGCTATTGAAAGGCCCCCAAGATCGCCAGATTTATCACCTTTGGATTTCTTTATGTGGGGTCATTTAAAAAGCAAAATCTATGCTACTCAGCCAACATCATTAGAAGACCAGCGACAAATAATTGTAAATGAGTGCCTTCAAATTATTCCTCAAATATTGCAAAATATGCGGCAACGTTTTGAGCAAAATCTTTATTATTGCATGGAGAGTCGTGGTGGTCATTTTCAACATTTACTTGCCTAACGGGTCAGTTCATTCTTCATTTTTAAATTACTTTGCTGCCAAATGTATTGATCTTCGCTAATGATGACGTATTATATTAGCTTTATTTAAGTTTTAAATCAATAAATCTTCAAAACTACTGAACTGAAGGTCATTAATTTCATAATATTATGAAGGGAATTGAAACACCTTTAAAATAAGGTATCACACGACCCGCTTTTCCATTTAAGATTTTGGGGGTGGTGTCACCCCCGCTTAGGGGACTGCACGTGCTAACGTGATTTTTTGCCAAACTTGTGTCCCCCCCGAAAACAGAGTCGACGAGTCTGAGCGTTTTTGAAAAAAAACCTGAGCTGCCAGTAAATGCGTCTGTTTCGTTTTCAATGCGCTACCCTGTATTGGAATGACTATTACATTTAAAAAAGATGATCCCTTCAAAACATCCCAAGATATTCACAGTGACAATAATTCACAATTAACATAATTCCAGATCATACACGACCTTAGAAGACTAGTTGGTGTCGGCTTTTTCAACGTTTTGCTTAAATTTTGTCAGAACCTTAATAAAAGAGCCTTCAAAGAAACTGCTAAAAATATTATATATAAATACTTAGTGGTATGATCCTTTAATCTTGTTTATGTGTTTTAATTAGCAGGCTGTATTAAAACTGAGCCCTATCAAATTAATGCATTTGGCTTATAACTGCTTGTGTTTAAAATGTATTTGAGGTGGTTTTGAAAGTACCTCTACAGCAGCTTAAGAAACTGTTGCTCAGATAATAAAGTTTTCGAGGTATTTTTTTTGTTTTATTGATAGCTTTCAGTGTGTTCCCTTTTAAGCTGAAGACAAGTTTATTACAACTTTGAGGTTTTTTCAAAAGCCGATTAGTTATAATGGCAGTTTTATTTCACTTTATTATCACATCTTTAAAATACTTAATACACCCGTTCGGTGCTTCTTGAAGTATGATATCTTAAAGCTCCTTATCAATACTTTATAGTCCTAGAATGTGAATTTACTACCTTTCAAAATGGCTGACTGGCAGGATGTCAAGGTTGAGCGTTTTTGTACATTGAATCGTTTATAACTCAACAACTAATCATCAAAATATAGTACGTTATATCAATGCCCTTCTTTTGAAAAGGTCTATCCAAATGTACAATGAAAAGTGGACATTCAGTTGAAAATTACTCATTGGCAGCTTCTATATGAGATGTCACATGGCCCACCTTTCCATTTAAATAGTATCCAAGATGCCGTCCAGTCCACCACTTTTACGCTAAAATATAGTACTCATACATCAACCCTATCATCCCAAATTCCAGCTTACTAGTTTGACTCGTTTAAAAAAAGTGTTGAAAATGGTCGCGGCACTAAGATTTGGAAAAAAAAAGGATACCTACTCATTTGAGATTTGTCGAAAACCACTGATTGAAAGAAAAACGCCGAGACTCTGAAAAGGTTTGTCAACTATTCAACAAAAATCTACTTCACCCCGTTTCACCCTCTGCCCCCAGGGTCATCCCTTTAATAATTTTGAATGACAAAGGGTATCGATCAACAGCTTGTTTGAAAGGTCTCTTGACGTGCTTTATTTTGACGTTTAATTTTTTTAAATTGGTCGATTCGTTTTCAAGAAAATTAGAAAATTCTTCATTCATCTTAATTTGTTCAGGAAAACAAAAACACACAAAATATCACTTTTTATTTCAATAAGTGTTCGAAATGTTACCGATTATTGGCAAGCGATCTTCGAATTCCTGAGGGACATTTTCAAAAACATGTGGGATATCATGACAAGTTTCGATGATGCGTTGACGAACTTCATCCAAACTTTCAGGTTGGGGTTTAAACACAATATACTTCAAATGACCTCATAGAAAAAAGTCTAATGGCGTCAAATCAGGAGATCTGGTAGGCCATTCTATAGGGCCTCTTCGTCCTAGCCATTTATCTGGTAAGGACGTCGTCTAGCCAATGCCGAGCCGAAAGGACATAGTGAGGAGGAGCGCCATCTTGCTGGAAATATATTTCAGCATTATCAAGTATAGGGTTTCCATCGTCTTCGATTTGGTTTTTAATGGTTTCAGTGATAAGCGGGTTGATGGTATTTTCCAACATATTGAAATAAAGGTCTCCATTCAAATGTCCATTAATAAACAATGGTCCAGTTACTTTGCTTCCTATGCCTGCTCATCATTAATTTGTTTTGGGGGTATTGGGTATGCGGTTCTACAAGAGCATGAGGATTTTCATTGCTCCAATACCTGCAGTTATGCTTATTAACAAATCCATTTAGATAAAAAGTGCATTCTTTACTGAAGCAGATATTCTTTACATGAATAGTATTATCATTAACCGCTACAGTCACTTGTTCACAAAACTTAACTCGTCTATCGAAATCGTCTTCGGTTAGCTCTTGCAATATTTGTATTTCGAATGGATGTAATTTATGGAGTTTAGCAACTGTGTGTACAGAGCCTAATGAAATACCAGCTGTAGCAACAATTTTGCGTAATGAAATATTAGGATTTATTCCAAAATGACCCAGAACTTCAACTTGAGCGGCTTCATTCAAAGCTCTCCGATGATCATGTTTTTTATTTGTAACAGATTCAGTTAGAGTAGATTTTGTAACAAGGTCCAAAACATACCTATGCAAAGTTATCTTACCCAGATTTCTGGCGTTAAACGTGACGGTGGTTTGCCGATCACATTGATTTTGGGCACCATAAATTAGAATCATTTCCACTGTTTCGGCTTGTGTGTAAACCATTTTGGAAGTAAAATCTGAATCAATAAATTTCACCACCCCAAGATTGTCACAATAGTAACCGACTGCAAATTGAACTATTTCTTTCGCATAGCAACAAACTAAATAAGTATAATAATAAATACAGTTCGCTCATGATATCTGTGTTGAAAGGATGCGGAAAAAATTCGGGTTGTTATTTGGTTGTTGCCACGTCTAATCTTCCGAATTTATGTTGGTAGTTTCCATTTTAAATTATAAACGAATTGTAGATTTGACAAACCATAACGAAATTAAGATAAATAAAGATTTTTCTAAGTTTCTGAAAACGAAACGACTGATTTTAAAAATCAAACGTCAATACAAAGAACCTTGAAAGACCTTTCAAACAAGCTATAACTCGACAGCCTTTGTTGTTTAAAATTTTCAAGGGAATGACCCTGGGGGCCGAGGGTGAGAGGAGGGAAGTAGTTTTTGGTAATAAGCTTCCCGCCTTCCTTTAAATTACTGGTTTTCGATAAATCCATGGTGAGAAGTTTCAAAATGAAATTAATATACTAACATTGCGCCATTTATCCACAGGATAGATACACGTTGTGTATGCCGTCGGGAGAATTACCATCTGTTCCATTTTGAATCTTCTGTGGACGTAATGACATTTTGTGTTTCATAATTCATGACAGTTCATAAAGAAAAGAACTCCTACTGATGCGCATAGTGTTTTATTAAAAAAAATAGTAGGGGGGCTTTCTGGAAAGCTCTGCGTTTTACTGTAAAACTTGTTCAGGAAACTATACTATTCGAACACATTCTCGACCAAAACAAACGTTCATATTTCTAAATTTTAATGCCATAAACCACAATTACTGAAAATAATTCGTCTGGAACAGACATTCGTGCAAACAACCAATTACTAACCCCCATTTCCAAATTGCAGCTTATTTATTGGGACGACCAAAACGTGTACATGGAGCACCGATTCATCACGCCAAGGGATCGATTTATAAACGCAATCGTCTTGTGCAGAGTCCGAGTGGTCAACTGCAACGCGGAAGACGTTATGGCTGAGTTGCTCAGTACTTCTGGTGATGTTGAGGCTGTGAAGAAACAGAAACCGGAGGCTCCCATCGAGCTAGCCAAGTGGATCGAGAGCAACGATATATCCAGCGCTTCCCTTAGAGCTAGCTCTGCGGCTCCTATTTGAGTTTAGGTTAATTCGAAGTCGTATTGGCATACTGATTCGTAGTTTGACAAGAAATCTACGGTACATGCTTCACCTTTCTCACGTCTGAAACGACATTGCCAAGTCACATGCTCTGCTTAGGGTGATCTGATACTACAAGCAATGGAGAAATGCAGCTATTCTGTGACGAAAATATTTACTGGAAGCAACTTCTGCAGTTCTGTAATAAGTAAAAGGTGTCTCAATAAGTGTGCCGGATTTGATTTTCAAGAAGAATACAATAGTTGCGATTAAACATGAGATGGGAAATCCGGTAAACGGCCACTGCGAAACCTCTGGCACGGGATGAGACTTTTCTTTAAATTCTGGATAACGTTTTCGCACAACTGTGGCTCTATTTCATCGATAACGCGCCGTTCTCTTCTTTAAGGCGTTCAGCTGTTTGTGGCTTGTTCGCATACACCTTTTCCTTCACATAGGCCCAGTAGAAGAAGTCCATTGGCGTTAGATCGCACGATCTTGGTGGTTAATTTTGAGCGTCAAACCGAGAGATGACACGGTCTGGAAACTTCGATTCGATAAAACTGGGGACACAAAAGCTCTGTTAGCATTTCGCGATACCGCACACCATTAACAGTTACCGCAGTTCCAGCTGCATTTTCGGAGAAATACGGTCCAGTCCACAATGGGCACCAAACGGTCACTCGCGGTGGATGCTTTGGTTGTTCGATTAGTACACGAAAGTTTTCAGAACTCCAATTTAGACAGTTCTGCGTATTGACGTACCCATTCAATTGAAAATGGGCCTCCTCAGACAAAATGATTTTCTCTTAGAAATCCGCATCAACTTGGTGGTGCTCCAGCGCAACGACTTCACGGCGCTGGGCATGGTCCGTTGGCTCGAGTTCTTGCGTCAGTTGAACCTTTTATGCATGCAAGCACAGATCTTTCGTCAAAAGTCGTTGCAGAGTAGGTCTGGTAAGGTTCAATTCTTGGCCACGATGTCGAATGTAAGTGCCTGGAATCTCGACCACACTTTCCTGCACTGTGACTATATTTTCGTGGGACCAATCAGGACGACGACGAACAGTGTTCTTCACATTGTTTGTCTCAAATTTTGTAATTGCGAACTGTCGACTCATTTGGCGCATTATTGCGACCGAAAATTGCACGTAACTTGCGAACTGTTTCAACGTTATTTTCTCCATTTTTGTATTTAAACGTTGCTCGTTTGAATACAGCTCCATGTCATCTAATCGCGTGATCTGGACATGACAGCTGTCATCAAGTAAACACCATACTATTTGTACAAAAAAAAATTGCGGCAAATTCAAATCCGGCGCTCTTGTTGGGACACTTTTTGTATGGATCAAAACTAAAATTCCATGACCGGGCTTGGTCGATCATATATGAGATTGAGCTCGATGTTCCGTAGGAAATACCTAAGGAGGTATGAAGATTCGCGCAAATCGTATGTCAAACGTTTTGGCAACTTTCCCATTTTCTCGCTACTTCTGTCATTATGCCCCTTACTCAACTATTTCAACGTACTCGTACAATTGTCCAAGGAAGTAAAAAATGACGGCGATATAATAATTCGTTCGGCAGATATTTCAGTCAAAATTGGTATTTTCGAATTTTTCACTAGTTTATGGGACTGGCAATTCAAATGCCTTCCGAAACAAAACATGCACAAAATAATTATTTTTTTATATTTGGCCTATGTGAAACGAATTTTGTACTCGGGCCTTCAAACTGGTCAGATATGCCTTTGGATCCAATTTACGATATTTTGAACCAAAATTAGCCAATTTTCATGATGCTAAAGAGCGGGTCATGAGTCATATCGGGCTTGATCTTTTTTCTGCAAAGATTCTATTGAGCCATGGCCCTTTGTAAGATCTCAAATTCCTTGGTTTAACTATTCGCTCTGGGGACGCGCTCAAAGTTTCAAGGTTCGGAAAAATGTGAATTTTAGCTTTCTTGGCAATATTTCCATTTGTTCGCTACACCTGTCACTGGAAAGTATTGAGCCCCGCCAATAAATTTAGAAAGAGCCAGTCACGGATCTGTTTTATACTAATTATCATAGTCTGTAGTAGGATCAAGGTGCATGCTACAAATGCACCTGACATAAGCTAATTTTTCTACAGGTCTGTCATAAAATTCATATTATTTCTGTTATTTTTCGCGAGAGTTTACAGATAATTGTATCGTATTAGATGATTACAAGACATGGTCCTTCTTTGATAATTTGCAAAAAGCGACACAAGTCCGATGAAGGGATGTTTGCACCGGTAATTTGACAAGCATTGGTAGTCAAATGAATCAAAAGTATGCACTGAGGCTACGCAATTTTGGCGACAAACAGTGCAATATAGTCTTGAATTCCAGAATAAAATTATCTGAGGAATTCAAAAATTTTGAGCCCAATCTGAGATATGACCCACCAAGTCAGATCGAGAAATCTTAGTTTTGGCCAAATTTAGGCACATAATATATTTGTCACTCGAAGATACTTACTGCCAGACTACGTTATCGTTTATAATCATCTGTGATTTCAATTATTAGCTAGTTTAAGAGAGGCAATATGCATCCGCGCATTGCCTTTATGGTAATAGTACATATGGCTTCCCGTGCATATTTGTGCCATGAAAGAGGCTTCCTCTAATGGTCTACAATCTCGGCCCACCCGATGTCGCAAGGTGTATTTCTGGCTCAATGTCAGATTGATTAATGAGGTGTTTCGACTAGATCGGCTTCAAAAGCTTTAGGTCTAAAATAATACTTTTTTTTTTTTGTGCCTTTGCAAAATTCATTCGACTATAGGATAGTCATCTAGAAAACTGTAAAATTCTTAAGATTATAATAATTCTAATTCTAATTTACTAAAAATGTTTATTATTCAATTATCAAAGCATATGGAAAGTCTTCAATGTACAGGGTAACAGATTTATTATAGCATGAAAATATTCTAGTAAGAGCTGTCTAAAGATGTCCAACGCGACGAGCTTCTGGATTGGTGTTCACTATTTCTTCTGAGGTAACCTTTCCAATTAGTCAACCTTTCTAACGTTTGGACGATCCAGTGGTGCATCTGACAGCAAAGTGAAAACTCATGCCAAACTGACAAAGTAATCCCATGGCTAGTACTATTCAGCATATCAGCCTTTCTGGACGGGAATTCTTAATACTTTACGTCTGACTGTCCTATGGTGTGTATAGAAAAACAATGTTCTTCGTCAAAAAATCTTTTTTTTTGTGAATTTATATTCATTTTCTCTTCAATTTCAAGTTAACAGATAATAGTACGGTACTAAAATTGCATGTGAATATTCCACTGTAATGGAAGAATTACTGTTTTTTTACTTTCTACCTTCAAAAAATGTTTGCTTTTCTTGAAACCTCATTCTACAGCAAATTGAGTATGGAAAAAATGGTAAAATTGGAAGTAATCATCTGTACAATTTTAATATAAAAGTGGAATTATGATGTACATCTTCAGAACTGTATTAGCATTTGTTGCGATTGAAGAAAAAATGCACAATGAAATGCACAGAAGTGAATTTTTGTCTAAAAAATTGAAAATACTACTTTAAACAGACAGTTGGAAAGAATGGATATGCAACCTTAATACTCCCAACATCGTTGTTATCCTATACTAAATCTGGCCTACCAGGTAGGTATACAAAACTTCAAATCTAGGAATATTTTATCAACGTATAAACTATTATGCTTCATGCTTCATTTATGACTCTATGTAATAAGATATGTAAGCTCTACCCCTGTCAAAGTCGCTAACATGATGACAGTTTGGACGTCTTCGACCTAGAGGCCTTTTGTTATGTTTAACACTAGTAAATGAAAGGGCAATAATAAATATCTGTACTGCTCGGCTCTCAGAAACTGCTTTCTTCACAAAAACTAAGCGACAACATTTTAACAAAGGTAAACAAAAATAAAGATGAAACGTTGACATTGTTGCTACAACATGCTTTATATGTATATGTATATGGTATATCATAAGCTACTAAATGGTTGTTAAAAGTTAACAAGCATTGGATCCATGAACAGGGTTTCTCGATAGTTTCGCATAGCTATTTAAATATATAAAAATGTAAGATATGTAATATTATAATCTATAATTATCTTGAGGGTACATCAAAATATGAAGTGTGATATGTAGATTTGGAATAATAGACATCATAGTTACAGGAATAGGTCTGAAAGCAGAAAAGGTGATGTTGTTTGTGATGTTAACAATTGTTTAATCATATCACAAAGGAAGCTATCAAAGTTACTTAGTCCTGCTTGAGTAGAAACTCGTCTGTTTTAATACTTTCCTCTACTTGTTTTAGTAAAATATAGTTTTTGTTAATTCCTATCGAAGCATTGAGTTGTATGTCGTCATTTATAAAAGTTTGAACTCGATATTCACATATAGGGAAAAATTAACTTCGTAATTATGTCATGACCACAAGGTTCATAATCAAACGTATGTACATATAAATAAATACTCTATTGACGTTTCCGCTGGCTATCCGGCTAAAGTTAAATAATGAATAAACCGAGATAATATTAAATCTTAATATTGTATATGGTAGAAAGTATCCAGTAAGTCCAGGTTTGTAAAATATGTTGCCTTTTTGGAGTATACTCAACTAGTACAGACTACTGTGTGTAAGAAACTGGAAAGACAATCATCGTTCGACTTCATGTATGTCGCTATTTTTTTATCTACATCTAATAGATACTACATTACTTGTTTAATATAGAAACAAATTTATTTTGATCCTTTGCAATTTATTGTGTGATATAATCTAGCTCTAAACTGGTCAAAACATTCAGTCGTTGCCTTTCTAAGCATCAGGGTTACACACGGCAAGCCACTTCTTCTTAATATAGTTGCAAGTGAACATCAGGAAGTGCACAACAAACAGAAACGGCGATGATGCCATGTACAGAGCTTGCTCTCAATGTGTTCTAGAACAAAGAATGCGGCAACCTTATTACTTAACCGTAAAATAACAGGGATAGCGACCTACTTGCTTCATGTTCACTTGCAGTGGTGGTGTGTGTGTTGCCTAAACATCAAGATGCTTGAGCTATACTCTGTCGCTCTGATATAATGTTAGCATCTGCTTCAGAGATGGCACTAGCGAAGACCATTCATAGCTTCTCACGACTAAGCTGTAAGTTCTATAATATAGGTCGTTGTGTCATTCTTCCAGACGTGGCGTTAACAGCGAGTAGGCGCGATGTGAGACAGCGACTATCCCTAGTACACAAGTTATCATACGAGGGTGGTCCGATATGTATTTAGCCGACAAAAGAAAAACTAAGATTTTGGAAAAGTGCCGATCTATTTCCCAACATAGTCTTCTCTAAGCTCGATACACTTGACCCAGTGATACTCCCACCTCTTTAAGCCATATGAAAAATACGTTTTCTGGAGGTCTACAAAGTAGGCGACGACAACCTCCTCATTCGACTCAAACTTCTGCCAGGCGGGTGACTTTTCGAAGTTTGGAAACACAAAGATGTCCCACGGAACCAAATCTGGAGAATATGCTGGATGATTCGTAGCCTAACTCGACCAATTTGGCTGTGGAGGTGTGATCCGGTGCGTTGTCATGGTGGAAGAGCAATAATTCGGCATAGGAGGGCCACGTGTCCGTTTTCCTTTCTACAGGTAGACGATATAAATCACACCTTGTGAATCCTAGAAAACGGTGGTCACTACCTTTTTGGCCGACAGAACAGCTTTCGCCTTCTTCGGTGCACGTTTGCCCGGTAAAGACCACTGCTTCGACTGTTCCTTGATGTCTGGTGTGAACCAGTGGATCCTTGTCTCGTCGACAGTTACGAAACAAAACAGAAAGTGGTTTGGGTTGCGCGTAAACAATGCCCTGAAGTGGTCTCATCGTTGCGCTTCTTGTCAGGAGTGAGCAAGCGCTGCACCCATCGGGCAGACAGCTTTCTCGTGCCCAATATTTCATGCAGGATATGACCCACGCGATCTTTTGATATGCCTACTGTCTTAGCTATCTCGCGCATCTTCAATCGGTCGTCTGCTAATACGAGATTGTGGGTTTTTGTCAGGTTATCCTCCGTGTAGCCGTAGCTGGGCGTAGCCCATCAAAAACCGACGTGTGACCAAATTGAAACTTGTTAGACCAATTTTTGACAGTTGCCACCTAAGGAGAAGAGACATCGTACGCAGCATCCAAACGCTCTTTAATTTCGCTGCGCGATTTCCCTTCCAAAATCGAGAATCGGATCACCGATATTGCGGTCAAAGCAAAACTTCGAAATGTACTACACGACAGTAAATTTCTTTTGGGATAATGGCACCATCGGGCGTTGAGGCTAAGTACTTATCGGACCGCCCTCGTAGTTATAATCTATACCACGACTGCCCAGTGTTGCCAGGTACAGAAGATCTATTTTCGGTAGAATTTTGACAAATTTTCCAGTAGATTGTGATTTCTTTCAGTAGATGGAGTACCAAACAGAGGCGTAGGTGGAAGGACCTATTGACTGAATTAAAATGTATCAAAACAAGAATCCAATAGGGAAATCAACACAAACCCTTCTCTGACCTAATCAAAAAACGTTTTCTAGCAAAAACATCCATAACACGTGAGTGAACAAATCTTCTTACTGTCACAAACTTTGTCTATTATGCTGAAATTTAGAAATCGGCAACCACTTTTTAGTTTAACAAGATTGTGACACCCTTTACAGCACGATAATGTTTACATGTGACTATTCCCCTCGTCTTAACTTGAACCAATAAGAAATGGGCAATTTTGAATTACAAATGGTTTCTAGATGGAAAAATTGTATGACAGCACCTGTCAGCAGTTTTTTTGAGTTCACCCGCGGCAAAACTTGACAGCTGTTGTCACCAAAAATTATAATACATTTGATAACAAGTAATTATGATCTCCTAAGTCACTAGAAAAGACGCTAAACACTTTTTCTGATTTTATTGTCAATAAATTTTGTAAACTACCTGAATGCAGAATAATCTGTAACTCATGAAACAGTCTTATCAGACACCATTCAGACATCTAATTGTTTTCTGGGAAAACAATCGAAAAAACACAATGCAAAATAATATTTTTTTTAACAAGATATTGCTTAGCAACCTGTTTTCTTTATTTTTTTCAGAAACATTAGATGCCCTTATGATATTACTTATAGTCAAAATCACGAAAGATGACTATTACGTCATGCCATAAATTGTACTGAAGTAATCAGTGGACTTAGGTCGATGATAAAATCACGATGTCAGGAACATAATGACAACAAACATATATTATGATTTTGGCGGAGTTAGGTTATTACACAGATTATTTTTATTTTCGTTTTATTTTATGGTTTTGAGTGATACTTTAACAATAATTTTAGAGGGGAATTTTGAAAAAAAAACTACAGTTATGAGTAGAATACATGCGCATACGTGCAATTTAGCAATACAGTTTGTTTAGACCATACAATTATGTTTGTCTCTGTCTAACATATCTGAAACTTCATTAAAAATATTCACAAATCGCTGTCGTTTGTCTTTACTACAGACTAAAATGATCATCGTCGTCTTTGGTGATTTCGACTATATTTAAATACCCTCCAACAGTACAATAGCATTTTAGTGATTTCACAACAGAAATAAAGGGATCAATCACTTCTGGAATAGAGAAAAGGGTAGTTCAAGATTTAGTTTTTTATTAAGGTAAAACAGGATTAAAATCGGTACATCTACCGAAAAAATCGGTAACCTGGTAACACTGTGGGTAGCTTATATCCATTGGGGCTTTCGGTAAAACTTTCGAGTGTTGACGGTTGATAATATTGGGTCAAAGTATTTATTGGTTGTGTTGAAAAAGTATAGCTGTGCAATAATTTTTTGTAGCATGTAGCAATGACTAACTATAATGCCATTTGTGCTGCCAATGCGAAGTCATTCCTTCATTTAACTCAATGTATCAGTCTCCTGTTTCTCAAATGTCATAACTCTCTAGGCAAATGACACATCATCAAATAAGCAAACCTTGAAGGTATGACTATCGATCTAGGCCTGACTTCCATTCCATTCATCGGTGTTCACTTAGCGTTATTTACTATATCAAAATGTGATCAGTGTGGCATACTCGATGAAAATGTTATTTATTTTAACGCTAGATATAGGTAGAGAACTGTTGAGTGTAAATTATTATTGTATGTTAAGAGATTACAGAAGTATATGTGCTGTTAAAATTAAAACTCATGTTGTTCATTTATATCTATATTCGTTTTAGATACAATTATTCGTGCTATGTAATACAAAATATACATAAATAAGCAATAATAATTTAACAAGGTTTTGAATATGACCAAATTTCTGAAATCAATAAATTAATGGCATGTCCAATGTAAGGATACGATTTAAATAAGGTGAGTTGTTTCTGTCACGTATTTTCAAAAATGCACAAATCCAACATTATCCGTCTATTTTTACACACTCTTAGCATACAGTGTATGTTAAGAGATTACAGAAGTATATGAGCTATTAACATTAAAACTCATGTTGGTCATTTATATCTATATTCGTTTTAGATAGAATTATTCGTGCTATGTAACACAAAATATACATAAATAAGCAACAATAATTTAACAAGGTTTTGACTACGACCAAATTTCTGAAATCAATAAATTAATGGCATGTCTAATGTAATGATACGATTTAAATAAGGTGAGGTGTTTATATCACGTATTTTCAAAGGCGTAACTATCACAAATCCAAAATTATCCGTTTATTTTTACACACTCTTAGCACACAGTGCTTATCGTGGACATGATTACTCTAATTGCACAAACACTTTACCGACTTTGTTCCTAAGTCATTCATTGAAGGATAAAATGTATAATGCATTCAGTTTCTGTCTAAAGTGCTCAATTCAGAGTTTGATAGCAAGGTCCAAAAGTTACGCTGTGGCGCTGCCTGTGCGTTGAGGAATCAATGATTCTAACAAAAAAAAAATCAGTTTATATACGCATACCATTTTGTACCAATAACGCAGCAGAAGTATTCGAGGTAACATAAAAAAATGCTTCAAGCTTTCTTTAAAAAACTCATGTATCAAGTTACTTAAAGTCGTATAAAACATCAAAAATTACAACATCAGCGACTTTGAGTAAACGTATCATCCCCATAAAAATTGAAATAACCCTGTTAGTTGCTTCGGTAATGTTCGTACTAGACAATGGTATCAAAAGCACTAGCTGATTGATATGATGAATTAACTGAAAAAGTGTTTTCCCTGCTTTTGAAATCATGAGACACCTATTACTGGTACCTGCATGGTCCGTGTTTTAGGAACTAGGGCCGTTGATGTGTCACAGCCCTTGAAATAGATCTTACATAATATTATAAGCGACATAGCAGCATATTGAGAAGAAATTGTAAATTTAAAATCATTTCCTAATGAAGCTATGTGTTATCGCGAAATATGGAAGCCGCTTTTCAGCTTAGTTGCACATAAATTTTGAAACAAAAATTTTCGGGAATACTCTTTTTCTATCCCTACTCGGATTTATGTTTGCTGAAGTACACAAAACGACAAAGCAGAGTTGAAATTTTCAAGAACATCTAATGTAGAAATTCTTCTAGATCAATCAAAAATGATACCTTGTTAATAACGCCTTTCAGCTGACGCTCTTCCGCCTCGTTGCCCTCCCCCCTCATTCATTTCTTCTGCATCTGTTTGTTCCTAACTCTGTTCGATATCTGACGGTACTTTAATCAAAGCTCCTATGAATCTCTCGCACAGAAGACAAAAAATCAGAAAAGTATTTTGCAAAAGGTGACCGATAGAGTGCAAAATCTTGCACTCATCACGGCAAAGACATATTTGACCTAAGCTGACCTCGTACAGAACATTATATGAGAGTGATACAAAAATTACCTTGAAAATTTCATATCAGTAACAAATGCCAGTCTTGAATAAGTTACACCTCACCAGTTTATCAGCCTCAATAATAATTGTGATAGAATGGATGTTTCTTAAAGAAGCTCTTGTGCATATCGTGACCAGCCATATTAGTGACGCCTGCACCGTTATTGAATCCATAGATGCCTCCTTCTTCGTTGAACTTCTTCTCTCCGTATCTGCCACTGTTCCCTTTGTGACTATCTTGGAAGTACCCCTTGTTGAAGTGCCCTTCCTTGCCGGCTGACTCATGATTGAATTTGCCTTCCTGCTTGCCCCCATGGTATGCAGATCCAGCTTTCTCGCCGAAGCTTCCTGATTGGCCGTTGTACATGTAGTGGTCTCCTGAAATGTGGAAATGATGGCGTCAAGTGGATGAACCCTTACTATACCCGAAAAACAACGTATTTTGCTGAGAACTTGGTATATGATATCAGCACCGTCAAGAATTTGCCCATGTCGCAAAAGTTCAAAAGCAACTTGAAGTCCAACTTGCTCTGCTGGAAATTTAATACTGAATACGAACGCCACCACGAATTTGCCCGTGTTTCAAAAATATATGTTGACGAATAATGTCATTTTTAGCATTAAGAAACAACGTTATCCGTTTTAGACTGCTTGGGTTGAGCTTTCAAGTGCTGGATTGAGCAGGGTGGGACTTTCGTGAGCATGGGTCTTAAGAGTTACAAAGTACCTTTCCAGGAAAATGGACCCTAAGTAAGTTAACCAGGTAAAGTATTCTCCTGTTGCTAATTGCTGTTTTCATCAGAGCCCCAGGAATTAGAGGAGGAGAGCACTTTTGAATAAATGTTTTGTATACAGTTAGATACAAGTAAGTGCGTGACTAAATGTTCAAGTAGAAATATTTACGGTATCACTAGATTTCGCTAATAACGTTTCTGAGGAGGTGGTTTATGCTTTCATGAGGTATCTCATCCTATGCTAACTGAACTTGGTTTCGAAGAGCTGTTAATGTTGATGTAGGAAAGGTAAAGTGGCCGCTCTTGTTTCCATTATGTCTTATGTATGTTCAGTTGGTGATTAGTGTGGATATCAGGAACGTCAATACAGACGTACCCAGATCATTGGCTTCCAGACATGGGTTATCTTCCAAAGACAAAAGAGCAAGATACAGGCTATGGAGGTGAAGAGTCAAAGGTGGTTTTGAGATTGGATAGAATCAAAGGCGAGCTGATAAGAGACGAATTGAGAGTAGAGCCAATCTTGAAGCTGATTAAACAGAACTACTCACAATGAAGAGCAGTCGGCAAATAAAAGCTATAAGGCAGGCGAATTCTATAACATGAAGTGAAAGGCGGAGGGCGAGAAGAACTTGGAATGATGTAATCGAGGGCCCAGTGAAGGAATGGACACGAGTACCGCACAAAAACTGGCACAAAACGAAGAAATGGAGAAAATTTGTGGACAGTATTACAGTGTGATAAATTTAATTTCTTATTTGTTCTTATGTCTCACAAAATCAAGGAAGATGGTTTATTTGGCAGTTATTGTTGTAGTCTGCTGCAGCTCTTGTTCTTTACAAACGGTTGGGGAAATGGGATTCAACTGAAGGCTTACACAGTGTCTTTCTGTGAACATGTGTGAGATATGATGCGAAAAATGACCTCTTCACCTCATTTTCCTCAAAAAAGTACAGCTAGCTTTTAAAAAGATACCTCAAGAAGGCATATATGAGTATCATCTTATGAGATGCATATGGCTTACCTGTGGTCCAGCACATTATTAGGGAAGTCCAGCAACATAGCAAACGTATTCACTTCAAATTTTGAATACTTGTTCCTCTTACTTGTGCCTAACAGTGTACAAAGTTTTATGCAAATAAAATCGCTTTAACTGGGAGCACTATTTTCTTTGTCACTGAGAACATAGAGGCTGTTTCAGTGTATCGCGCAGCTAACAAAAAAACTTGTCTGTAACACCTCCAAAGCTTCTCCCTCAATGTGAACGTGGCCCCACCTTGTTGATAGAACACATTGTTAAGCAACATACTGATAGTATCTAACTGAAACCACGAAAGGTCCATATTTGTTGGTGCTATAATTACAGTTCTGACATACTCTTCCAGCATAAAGCAATCCATAATCAAATTTGCAGCTCTCTAGACGCACAAGGTAAAATCTCTGAATTGTTGAAAAATGGTGCCAAATTATATTTTGGGAACACCTTTCACATATCCAACATAAAATAAGTAGTTACCTTCATCGTTGGCTTCATCGTAGAACTCTTCAGTTTTTCCAGTTTCCAGCTTCTGAGAGGAATTCTTGAAACCCTTAATCTTATGTCCCTTTTTGTGACCCTTCTGCATTTTCATTGCTCCCTCGTTCTTACCTGTTGGTTTGAAATATTTATTACGTTATCCATAAATAAACAAGATATGCCTCATTACCATTCTTATTGTAGTGTTGATCCCCTTGGTACATTTTTCCGTCTTCGTACATCTTCTTAGCACCGTTCTGGCCTTTGTAGTAACCTTGGTCGCCTTTCATGTCCTTGGCGGACATCTCTCCTTTAGAATATCCTTGTTGTCCACCATCGTACATCTGACCATGTTTTCCTCCAGCCTGAAAAAAATTAATAGAGGGTATAAGCTAAAATTAGCCAAAAGGAACACTTAATCAGGTAAAAGTTTTACTGTTAATAGGGATTAATTGGTTTTGGAATGTTTATTCTCTGTTGGAAGATCGGTCAGATTACAGTCAGATAACCCTCGTACTTCTTCCTTAAAAAATTGGTGAGATTTTGATTATCTGCTGCATCAAACTATTGAATACGTTGGTCAGCGGCGGCTGGCCCTTAAGTTCTGCAGAGCTACAGAACTGCCAAAACTTTTGTCGTAACAGAAAAAAGCAGTAGTAATTTGATCATTATTTATTTTCCACACAAATAGAAAAAATACCGGCAACGCTGCCCCCGCAAGACACAGCGTCGAGTCTGTTTTGTATTGAGAAATCATTATAATCGACCAATTGTGTACTTGTCATTTTCGTCGCGACCGCAGCTTAACATTATTCATGGGCCACTTGAAAAGGGTCTGTGCACTACTTCGACACAAGCCACACGCGCTTGCTCTTGTCTCTCTCTACAAAATCAAATACGCCATTTAAGCATAAGCATGTGCTGCACGTTATACAGATTCGTACAGATCTAATGCGAAGGACGATATTTGATTGGTCGGTCAGTGCTCGGTATACAATTTTGCGGAGCATTTGAATTGGCGCTACGGGGTCACGACGAAACCGAGAGCTCCCAAAACCCGAAAATATTTCGTGGACTGATTAATTTTTCTGCTGAGCTTAATGCAACCTTAAGCGAACACATAAAAAATGCTTCAATATTTAAAGGAACTTCGAAATAAATACAAAACGATCTACTGGATTGTATTCTTGAAGTTTGTCATGAAGAAATAATAAAACAGATTAACAGAGCCTCCTATTTGACGATAATAGCAGATGAAACAACGGACATTTCGGGGAAAACCCACCTGGTAACAATTTTCAGATACGTATTTAACGGCGAACCAGTAGAACGTTTTTGGAATTATATGAATCCCGAAAAATGTGACGCTGATACTCTCACAAGACATATTTTGACCGTGGTAGATCCATTAATATGAAATTTCCCTAACAAACTGATTTCACAATGCTATGATGAAGCCGCGGTAATGAGCGGACATAATGCTGGAGTACAGGAAAAAATTAAACAAAGATATCCATTTACTTACTATGTAAATTGCTATGCGCATCAGTTAAACCTGATTATGTCCCAAGCTGCTCCCGCAAATGCTCAAGTTCGGGTGTTCTTTGGGGATTTGAAAGATATTCCGGGATTTCTTAATAATTCTCCTCAACGCGTAGAGGTACTGAACAGAATTGTGGGGAAAAAAGTTCCCCAAGGAGCAACAACTAGTTGGAATTTTAATATTCGAACAATAAATGTAGTGTTTGAGAACAGAGAATCACTCATTGAATGGATGGAAGAAATAGAAGAAAATTTCACTAATGAAACCGCTTGCAAGGCAGCTTGCTGTATTCGCCGTATGTTAAACGATTCTGTTTTCGTGTTTTGGTTGACATTTTTTCATCATATCATGCCTCACGTCGACATGTTGTTCAACCAGTTGCAGAAGAGAAAAACCGAGCCAGCGCAAGTTAAAACGGCTATCGATAATTTTGAAAAATGTATTGTCGATGTGAGAAATAAAATTGATGACATAATAAATGAAGCCAAAAGTATTTGCACTGAACCCCAAGGCAACAAAAGGAGACGACGTAATAATAGCAGTCATGATCAGCGAGTTGCCGCATTAGAAGTATGCGACAATATAGTGAATTCTGCAAATGAATGAATTTCAATTCAAAGATCATTTGGTAGCCGCATCCCTTTTTTTCCCCGAACACGTTGGAGAATACTGTGGTAAGTTTCCTGATGACAAGCTGGAAACTACCTGCTTGGCTTATCCCAAATTAGAAAAAAGTCGTTTAAAGACACAGTTGTCTGTTATTTATGCACGGAATGATTGCCGAGATTTATATGGAACTCTGTCCCTTTTGAAATTTTTTATACAAAATTGTTTGGAGGAAACACTAAAAGAAATAAAAAAACTATTAGAAATTATTGTTACAACTCCAATATCAACATCAGAGGCTGAGCGAAATTTCTCAACATTGAAGAGAATGAAGATTTTTCTTCGTAATACTCGTACTATGACCCAGCATCGCCTTACAGCGTTGTCGATGCTGTCGAGTGAAAAGAAATTTATTTCGACCATGGAAAATTTCAACGGGCGCAGGATCGAACTGACATATAAAAAATAGGTCAGTTTGAATTTGCAGAACACCTGTTTTATTTTGCCACGAGCCGCCACTGACGTTGGTGATTCGACGCATGACAGTTGAGCAGCAGCAAAGTAGGTAAGTGCTTCTCTAACGTATTTTGCTGTTCAGATCTTCGACACAAGAATTTGACACTTGATAAGCATTATAGACATTTAACCATAGTCTAACAGTCTAGTTGTAAAACTGAAAACCACAATTGATGTCTCACATGTATCGCTAACATTTGTTTGTTAGACTCCGATAGACAAAATGCAATGAAGCTCTAATGCAGCAGCACTTCCTTGCCACTCGGTCATCTATGGTACCTTAAGCTGTGAGTCCAACTATATGTATGGAATAGTGTTATCCCTTGTCTCTGTGCTCACACATGATACTGAAGTCTTACCTGCTTATAGTAAGCGTCGTTCATCTTCTTATCGCCTTTCTCGTAAGCTCCTCCAGCCATCTCTTCACCACCATATCCTCCATGATGCATCATTGGTATCCCCATCATTGGTCGAGAAATTCCTGCATCATTTTTCAGACAAATATACATTGGAATTAAAAGAAGCAAATAGTTTGAACACCAGCTAAATTTTTCTTCTTGATCAAATGTCTTTATTATATATTATTCAAGCTCTGTGGGTCCATCATCAGGGACCTCAATCTTCCAAGATTGTCGAAACCGGGTAAGCCTAGTTTCCGTATTATCCAATAGATGCATAGTTTGAAATCCAGCTTATATTAATGTTCGTCGACACCTTTGGGCGACACGATTAATTCCAAATAAAATGTAAAGTTTCATGATATAATTTTGGTATGAACATATGAGCCAAGAATGGGCCTATGGAACTTTAAACTCATTATCGTTAATCAAAGAAAACATGGATCAGAAGGAAAACTTTCAGGAACATCTGGTATCCAACACCACATGTATCTTATATCCATCAATTATATATTGGTAAAAGGTTGTAACTTACCAATTCCGCCGCCAATGCCAGGGCCCATCATTCCCGGTGCTATCAATCCTCCACCAACTCCCCCTCCAATACCACCCCCCACCAAGCCTGCTCCAACCCCTCCATTCATGAGGCCGCCTCCCATGCCAATTCCTGAAACACCTAAACAATCGAAAGCAGAAGGTGGTGTTAAATGAGAATGTGTCGGATGCTCTGGGAGTAGTTGCAGGTGTGCCCCAGGGATCAATACTGGGTTCTTTACTGTATATTGTCTATACATCAAAATTTCCAAAATCTGTCAAATACTCAGAACAACTACAGTTATATGCGGATGATACGCAACTTCTTTATTCGTTTCGCCCAGATGAAGTAGATGAATGTTGTCATCGAATATGCTCTGATCTCAAAAGTATCTACGATATCTCCAAACAGCACTCCTTGTACCTCAATCCTGATAAGTCAAATTTTATTATTTTTGGTCCCAAAAAAATAAGGAATCTTCTTGCGAACAGAATAAATATTAATATCAATGGCGTTTCAATAAATAGGCAAACTGAAGTAAAAAATTTAGGTGTTCTTCTTGCTGAGGACCTGCGTTTTAAAAATCTCATAACTAACTGTATCAGAACGGCTTTCAGCAACCTGAAAAGTATCTATGGCTATAGAGATTTGTTGAATATGAATACCAAAATTTTATTAACAAATGTTCTTGTGCTATCACATTTTAACTTCTGTGACGTTCTGTATAGTAAGTGTATAGACCAAAATGATGCAAAAATACAATCCATGGAATTCGACGTAGAGAAGGCATTTCACATAAGTTAGTAGAAACAAGCTGGCTAAATATGAAAGATAGACGAGAGCTGCATAGCGCATGCTTTTATCATAAGGTTGTAACTATGAAAACTCCTTCGAGTTTATATAATAAAATAACCTTTCGCCAAGATGCACACAATGTAAACATAAGGTCTAAAACCACGATCACACCACCAGCTCATCATACTGCTCTATTTGAAAGATCTTTTTCTTATAGCATTTCCAAAATATATAACGCTTTCCCTCAATACTTGAAATAAAAATCGCTATATAATTTTTCAAAATGCTACTTCCATTTTTTGAGATCTCGCTATAATAATTAATAACATCGAATATCTAAATGTCTTTTGTTTCTATGCACATACCTATATTACACATATATGATTATACTTACGTTACATTGTACGCTTTTCCCTAATTTCTTTATGTCTTTGTTTGTAGTCTGTGAATGTTTTCATTTCTTCTATACAGGGTGACTTTGAAGTTGAGTCATTAATTTTCAGATAATGATTGTAGAAGGAAGATAAACCAAAATATGTATGTAAAAATAAAAAAAAAATAAAAAAAATGTTACCTTGTTTTATAAAGTATCCTCCCGACAAGTATTTCAGTGCGGACCTGTATTTGATCGTGAGGTCCCCTGTGAGGTCTTAAGTCACCTGATTCACGAGCCCGCTGTACTACATTAACAAAGGCACGAGGGGTTGGTTGCACTCGATTGGGAAACCGATCCGCATAAACATGGGCCATTTTTTATTTAGTTTGAGCCACGCAACAGACACTATTTACACGGGTTACCGACTGACACTAACTGTATGTATAAGTGAACTGATTGTAAAAACATCGTTCCAAATTCTTTCGCTTTTTTGTTTCCGATGCGATGAACCGATAAGGCGGATTATATCCGTTGTTGCCAAACACGAGCACATGATATTATTATTGAGACAGGGCGTTACTCAAACTTCCAAAGGGCTATAACTTTGTTACTTTAATTTTACCAGAAAAATGGTAAAGGAAAAAACATTTCTTTTGATCAGATCTACTCACTGTTAAAATAAATGACTCAACTTCGAAGTCACCCTGTATATATTAGTTATTCATGCTTCCAAAAAGGCTATTGTTTGAATATTACTACGGTAACATATACTACTCGTGTATCTTTACTTTTAAGCTTTTAAGTTAGTTAAGTAGATTTTGTTAGGTTAAGTGGAAGACCAGCCATTCCTCTATAGCAATGAAAGCTGAACTTCGCCTTTTCCAAGTATCACTTCCATATCTCTGTACCTTGGTACCAACGAATAAAGATGATTATTATTATTATTATTATTAAATGTGAATCAAAAATTAACTCCTGAAGTTCTACAATTTTGTGTGCTCCTAAACGGGTTCTTTCTTACAAGTATTTAACTCAATATCTGGTAACCAAAGTTTCGCCAATTTTGTCCTAACAAACAACGCTAAAAGTTGCTTTGAAATAAATTAATCTCGAAATATTAATCGGGAACTTGAAATATGATTCGGGTTTAGTTCAGGTATCTGGCAACGTCAAGAGTAATGATTTTTGATTGAATTTTTAATCACGGAATATAATCAATGATACCATACTAACAACTGAAGCACAAGGTATATTATTTGAAAAATAGTTCTTTACCTCCAGCGTTCATCAATCCAGCGTTCATCATCCCGGCACCCCCACCACCCATCATCCCTATGCCTCCTCCTCCCATACCACCCATCATCCCTCCCATCATTGGGTATGCTCCCTGCACCACTCCAAAAATACACACCACAGCAAAAACAAACACTTCACTATACACCATAGCTTCTAAGCACTGTGTTACCCCTATAAATCCAAATTAGTCCGGGTTGTGATTTTGAACTGATTTCTTTACTTTTTTTTCAACCCCTTTGAGCTTGATGCCTGGTAAGTAAGTGCAAAGGTCCACTAGACCACCCTGACAGCGAGCGATGAATAGTACTGATTTGCCACACAAATTTTCGAACAATTTATATGGGATGTGGTGGCAAATCAGCAATATAATTTGTCGTGTCTTTTGGTTTGTTAATTAAGAAAGGACAATTGTAAATCTAACCTTTAAGGTTCGTTATACGGTAAAGTGAGACTTCCCGGCCTGGGCATTGTCTGGCGATTATTCGTGTAAATGTTCAAAGACGGTTTTTCAGATGATTTTTTTTGTCAAGTTTAGTGGAACATGCATATTATTTGGATGTCTGTAGTTTTGAGGTCACAATGTGGGTGTGTTGTCTGCTTCCTTTTATGGTATAATATGTAAGTCAAAGCACTACCCAAAGCGGTGTTGTAGTAGAGCGAAACAGAAAGCTTAAAAAGTAACAAGGTGAAATGACAAAAGTGGTAGTGATAGTAGCAAATTCTACCTAATCGAGATTACTTGATGTTTCTAAAAATATCAGCTAGAGTTACTACATTTGGTAGGATATAGCATAAAAAACTTATATGTCAGAAAATGGCGTCAAGTGGATTGACTCCTTACTTCCCAGGTATTCGCTACAATTTCTAGTACAGTTTTCTATGTAATGACATAAAAAGTTGAAAGTATTGTCATCACTATTTGAAATTTTCATTAAAAAAGTCGATAATGCACTAGCTAGCCGCTAGTGTGCCGCTAGATCCTTGAATGTCAGTTGGTTCAAAGGTGAAATTTGATAGGAAAATTTCAAAATATACTACATAACCTCATAATAAATCAATATTATGTCGCTTTTTTAGTTACGTATTACGGATCCGGTACCCTACAGGTCATAACGTTGACAATTTCATTAGCCAGTTGCTCGCGATGTTCAGATACCCTGAAAAGTTGAAATGTCGTTTATACAGGGTGGCCAAACACGTGACGTCATAAAAAAAAATTAGATTCCCCACATCGAGAGGAACCCAAATCATCCCCATATAT